GTAAAATGAATTAAATGATAAATAATTTCATTTGGTGAGGAATGATTTTGTAAATAATCTGGTCAAAATTGAGAAACAAAAAAATTGACTTAAAAAAAGTAGGTAAGACCTACTCATTTTTTTTTACTTATAAGCACTTTATAAGTGAGCTTATAAGGCATAAGGCAAACAAACACGTCATCAGCTGAGTTATAAGTTAAAAACAACTTATAAGTAGTTTTGACCAGCTTATAAGCAGAGAGAAACATCCACTGTATATTTAAAAAACTGTGTTTATTGAAACAGCCTCTCTACTTTCTGGTAGGGGTAAGGTCTGCATACACACACCCTCACCCTCCCCAGACCCTACGCTGGTGGGATTCAACTAGGTTGTTGTTGTTGTAAAATATTGTGTTTATTGCCAATAGAGCTAAAAGAATCATTTTTGACAATGTTGTAGGTTCATGTAAATAATGGATGAAATTAAAATGACACATTAAATTTCTCTTGTTTCTTACTTTTTATCAAGTTTAAGGCAATAAATGCAACAATGCATCAAATGTCTAAGTGGTCTAACAGAGATAACCTCTTAGTTTTTTATAAGTGTAAAGTTACATACATATTGACCCCGAACCCAACGGAGTTGGTATTATATTTGGTTTGTTGCTATTGTAGAGATTCAAAATCAATTTGGGCAATCTATCAAAATCTTATGCAATCATAATGGCAAAACCTACCTACAACATTGTCGAAAATGACTCTTATATCCAACATTGAGAAATCTCAACAAAATGGGTCCATAAAAATTTCTTTGCTTCATCAATCATTATACATTCAAACACCTCAACAAAATGGAGTTGCAAATAAACCATTTTTAGTGAACCATTATTGCTCGGAGTGAGTCCAGTCATGTGTGCAAATTACACCACTCTTTATGTCTTGAAATGATCTTTATGTGCATAGTTTGGATGATTTACTACAATTGTACGTAGGTTTAACAAGACAAGGATGGATGAATATTGACCATTCTATTTTCTATAGATATTCTACGGGTGACCGGTACATCTATATGGTATGATGAAATATGATTACTAAAACAAAAGTATGTTTAAAGGTAGCACAAAAAGTCACATAACGAAGGGTACATAAAAATCAATCGTAATTGATAGAATTTAGGATGGGGTATGGACATCTGGATTGGGTAATAAGACACTTGGGCTGAACCACATTAAAAGATTGAATCCAATCGATTAGTTAGTTTAACTCAAGAGCTTATATACCGGATTATTTTACTCTTGGACTTCCGATGTGGGATGCACTCTAACACTCCCCCTCAAGTGGACAACCGGGTCATTTTGAATCTAACCGATTGACCACTTGCAAATGAACTCCCATTCCCTTAATTTTTTTTTGAGCGCCAACACCTAAAGGACCACGAGCCGCTGGGTATGGACTTCCAGACGAGCAATCGTGTTAAACGGGCTACAGGCCGTTGGATACATACTCCATACGGACAACTGGGCTAAAGACTAACGGGCCGCTAGGAATGAACGTCTAAACGGACACCTTGACAAACGAGGTGGGCTAAAACCTGCTCCGATACCATGATAGAATTTAGGATGGGGTATGGACATCTAGATTGGGTAATAAGACACATGGGCTGAACCACATTAAAAGATTGAATCCAATCAATTAGTTAGTTTAACTCGAGAGCTTATATACCGGATTATTTTACTCTTGGACTTCCGATGTGGGATGCACTCTAACAGTAATCAATTGTAGTGACGTATGCCTTAGATGGGCTTTGGCAATGAGAGAGAGACGTGAGGATGGGTAAGTGACTCTCGCGACGAGCTGATTGAGTGAGCGAAGGCTTTTATTTTTTAAAATTTAATGAAAATAGGGTCAGGGCGGGTTGGGTCAAATTGGGTAGGGTTCCAATCATCGACTAGTCGTCGCCTAGGCATTGCTTAGGTGTTGCTTTGGACGACAGGACGACTAGTCGGCGACGACATAACAACCATGGTCCAAAACACCTAAGAGTCTAAGACGAGTTTCCAACATCTTTTCTACAATAAGTGTCACTCCAACTTTAGCTTTCAAATCCACATTCCTTATTCTATCAATAGGCGTATGACCGCTCATCCAACGAAGCATCTTCATTTTCGCCACACTAACTTTGTGTTCATGTTCACCCTTTGTTGTTTGTTCCATACAATATAGCTGGTCTAATCACAGTACGGTAAATTTTCCCTTTAGTTTGAAAGGCACTTTTTTGTCACATATAAAGGTCGGAGCACTCTGCCATTTTGACCAACCTGCTTGAAACCTATGGTTAACATCATCCTCTATTTCTCCATTGTCTTGAATGATAACATTCAAATCTCTTTACTAGTGGTATAGTATATTCTATGACTTTCACCTCGATGTTGGTATTTCTCATTCTGTTGCCATACTTGCACTCCATATACTCTATTTAGTGAGACTTATATGCAAGCCATGCAATCCCAAAGCCTGTCTCTACGAATCCAACTTCCATTCAAAAAGCATGCACCATGGTATGGGTTCTTGGATATGGTCGGTAAGAACGTCCAATACTAGTGTAAAAAGATATGGGCTTAACGATGACCCTTGGTCTAATCCTACACCGATGGGAAATTTCCCTATTACCCCACTTTGACTTCTCACGCTCGTTGTATCACCATCATACATGTCCTTAATCGCACGAATATACGCAATCCTTACTCCTTTAATGAGCATGGATTAATTAAGAGTTTGGGTTGAACTACCTATTGGTAGGATTAATTCTTTTAGTGTGGTTTTGTCCAAGTGTCTTAGCCTAGTTGAGTGACCTCATCTGAATCCCAAATTCTATAACACTTGTCTCTTTAACACTTGTCATTCCATATGAAAACAAGCAAGTCTAGGTACACAACAAATATTTTATTACCTTTTTTATTTGCTTGATAACATGAACAACTTTGAAATGTTTCGACGGTCAATAAAAGTCTACATAGGAAAATCCGAAGATGGATAGGAAAAGATACAATGTCTTAATGCCAACTAATGGGACTAATGGGTTTACTGGACAAAAGAATCTACATACTACGGAGTAATAAATATTGATGGATTGTTACCCTTCCTAGGCTTGAGAAACAACATAATGACATTCCAAATAAAACCCTTGGTGAAGAAAAGGCAGCAAACACCATGGAAGTTTTTATACATTTTGACTCCAAAAGATATTCTCATATGTTACAATTTGTCGTTATTTACAAATTTTGTGATGGTTGCGGGATGGATAATGTAGTGATAGAAGAGGAGGCAAACGGGTAAGTATGTGTCTCGTGTTTGTGATAGAAGGCTTGGACATACATCGAAACAATGCTCGAACTCCCTTGAAAAATTGAATGCAATAACATGTCATTTCTACCATTATATACAACAAACCTATCACAACATATATGGTGCAAGACCATACAAGGAATTCAAGCTCTAATTTGTTCATTGTTATCATCATTACCACTTTGATAGGTCTTAAGAGTCAATAAAAAAGTATTCAATATCAATATTTAATGATTAGTATGGTATTATTAATATTACAAATAGTTTCCTATTCATATAGTTTTAGTTAATGTTTTTAATAAATAAGTTATGATTGGTTACTTGCCAAAAAAAATTTGTTAGTAATATAAATAAAGGTTAAACTTCATCAATAATCAATTATATCACACCACTCCAACTTGAATTACATAGACTTTGGGAAGGTCAAATCTTTGAGTTTTGGTAGGATGAAACTATTTCTCGTAGGCTCAAAACATGCTTAGGCTCAACCTTACTCCCTCATTCACAAAATGAATATAATATTTTGACTACATAGATTTTAAGAAAAGTGTTGAAATGTGAAAGGTGATAGCCAAAAAGTGAAACGGGTGTGGTTGAAATTTATTTAGACGAGAGACATTATAAGAGTTATATATTTATTTCTTAAAAGGGAAAGTGGAAAAGTGTAAACTTCATTTTGGGACATCCAAAAAAGAAAGCATAAACTTCACTTTGGGATGGAGGGAATACATTGCATCTCAACCAAATCATGTGTAGCCACTCAATTTTTTGTGAAACATGAATCATGTTTAAGTGAAGCTATTCACATAGGTCATGTATACATGTTAAATTTCAAATATTATTTTTAAATTTGTAAGTCTAAAAAAAAGGATCATGTTTCGTCAAGATACACTCTTTTTATTTTTGCAATTAATTAGTCAATTGCAGAGCGTTTATTCGTAATAATTTGTCATTTGGCAATTAAGACATTTTTTAGAACAAAAAGAAAGTTTTGAACATCGTCGATGCTTTTGGTTTCTTATTCTCGTTACATTTAGGGTTGGGGTGTCATATTTTTATTGGCTTTAGGGTTGTTATTTGTTTATATAAGTATTGTAGCATTTTTGAAAATCAATAAAACCAAAAGTCATATCAATAAAAGTATAAAGGTAGTAATTTCTTCTTTATTATAATAAAAGGGATATCAATAAAAATATAACAGTAGCTTTTTATTTAACATAATATTGTGGGTGATGATACAATTACAACAACATTATCCCAGTGCCTCAAAGGCTCCACCGCCCATTGCGGGGTAAGGAGGTCGAATCTAAGCAACCTTACCCCTATGTTTGAAACATATAATGGTTGTTTCCAAATGAACAGTTTAAAGAGCAATTTTACTTTACTCCATCATACCACAAAGCCAAAAAATAGTGAATCTTTGGCTCCATTGGCGATGATACAATACAACATATATGTATCACTAGTCTCTTAGTAAATACTTGTCGTGTATCTTATTATTACAGCGTAAGTTGCTTAGTCCATTAGACTAACACTATCGACAAGTTAGAAATCATATCCAATTCGATGGAGCATATAAATAAAATCAAGTTTCCCTATTGAATGGTGGGTCTTCATAAAGTCATCTCTTATTGTGAATAGAACCCCTATAGCCAAATCATATTATCAACACATACCAATTATAGAAGTGCAATGCATATCTGCATAAGGTTCATCGCCGGTAAGCAACTCCCACATGACAATTCCAAAAGAATAAACATCTATCTGTGCAACAGAACAAAGGAAATGACACTAGTAACTACTACCTCCGTCCTTGAGTATTTGTCCAGTTTTGACTTTTTCCGGTCAACCGTTTTCAACCTTTGACATATAATTAAATAAAATATATATTGTATAATAAATAGATAAAATAATATTTTGAAAATATTTGATATAATAAATTTAATAAAACTATTTTGGTATAAATATCTAATATCATTTTTATTTCATTTGAGGTCAAAGTTTACCAATTTTGACCAAAAAAGAGTAAAAAGTGGACAAATACTCAGGGACGGAGGGAGTACAAAATATGAGAGATAAAAATTATTTATTATGTACTCATGTTGAGATAATTTACCTTTTCAGTTACCATGTTACTCTTTCCACTTAGGAGCTCAGGTGCCATCCAGGGTAAAGTCCCACGAACACCGCCAGAAACTAAAGTTTGCTGTTTCACCTTTGATAAGCCAAGATCACCAATCTATAGAGAAAATTAAGTGATGTACTGACGCATCAGTCATATTATTAGCAATTATACACTGAGGGACCGGATAAATAAATTAATGAAAGCAATATCAAAAAGATCTCTTTGGCCTGTAAAAGACTCACAACATAAATCATTCTGCTATGAAGGAAAAAGAAAGTGTACACTCATGCACCAGCATACCTTACATACTGGTCGATGTGGATCCCTCATATTCACCAAAAGGTTCTCACATTTAAGATCAAAGTGCACAATATTCTTTCCATGTAAATACTCCATTCCAAATGCTGTATCCATAGCAATGATGAGCCTCTTGCGACGATCAATGGTCCTGATCAACATAAGTTTCATGGATTAATGTCAAACATTTATAATGAGCAGAAACCAGGATACAGCTGGTTCACAATGAAGTGAGTCTAAGATCCATTGGAAGCAAAGGCCACCTGTCTTTTTTCCGTAAAAACTGCTTCAACGATCCATTTACCATAAACTCCGTCAGAGTGGCCAAGGACCCATCCGGGCCATCACGAACTACACCGTAGAATGACACAACATTTGGATGGTGCAACGTGCTTAGTATCAATGCTTCCTTCCAGAAATCTGCAATCTAAATAGAAATGCAGACGTAGAAGATATAGTACTTGAACAGAGATGTAAGTATATGGGCCAAATGCAGTTCAATTTTTTTGTACAGAGTACAATCCAATCTGCTTTGACTAGAATGGAAAATTTGGTGTTCAAAGAGAACAAATCTATCATGATATGTCACAGAGTTTTACTGGGCTGTAGACTGTAGTAGATCAGCTGAAGTTGGTATATCTCATGGAAACTTACTATAGAGTCACCATGCTACTAAGAAATGCAACAAGCACTAGGGTCACCTTCCCAATCCAATGAATTGTACTAATCCATACCCCATTCCTTGCACGAAAAAAACTAACATACAAAAAAGAAAACAAGCACACCACAGATCTGGAAACTTCCATCTTCACATGTAGGGAAAGCAAATGGAACACTGTGGGTGAGACATAATTAGCGATCCAAATATGGTAGGAAGGTCCTTCTATAGCATAGCATGATTCCAGAGTTCAAAATAACAAGAAATAATAACAATTTCCACTTGTGGTCCCACAACTATTAGGTCACTTCCACTTCTCATCGTCGATTTTCTTTTTATAACATTTGGTAGGTGCCTATGGATTGATTTCCACTTTTGGTTCTTAAGCCCACTTATCTGGCCAATCCCATTTTTTTCCGGGATAAGTGACCCATTCTGGAAGTGACAATAAATTATAGATGTGCATCATAAGTATAATAGAGTTAAAGTTGGGACAAAAGTGAGAACGACATAATAAATGCTGACTTAAAGTGGAAAACATGCTAAGAACAGGGGCAACTTCAACCCCTAACCAAATAAATAGAAAATGTAGAGATCATATAAAATCATCAACATTACACAATGAAACTAACAAGTGGTGAACAAAAAATCCTACCAGACGTTCCCTTTCAGACGGTCTTCCAGAAAAGCAGCTAGCTTTTATTCTCTTTATAGCCACGTCTGAACCCTTCCATTTCCCATGATAAACAGCACCATATGTTCCTGAACCCAATTCACGGATTTCCTCGAGATCTTCATTTCTAATAGTCTGCATGTGAGAAGCAGAATACCATATATAGAAAATGAATGTATATCAAAATCCATATTAATGGGTTTTATATATTCCTTCTTTAAAATTGAGGTACAATTCGTAACAAAAGTTTACAAAATAAACTGAATATACAAACCTGCAATCCCCTTTCAATAGCCTCTTTCTCTGCCTCTGTTGGTTCAATTTTTGCATTATCAAGATTATCATTATCAGAATCTATCCCAGATCCTCCATGAGCATCCTATAAAGTAAGAGAAGATTATAGAAAGAATTTTAAAGGTTTGATGAATTGTCCTTGAATGCAAAAACATACCCTCCCCACTGCATCTGACTCATTCAAAATTCCTACGTCTGTAGTTTCCACATCCTCGATGAAAGAAAGAGCATCCTCCGGAACCTTAGCTTCAATGTCTTTCACACTTTTCAGCACAGATGCAATCATGTCAGGTAAGAAACCTGGACTATCATCATGCTGCTTATCCTTTTCTAAAGAAGAACCATTGCCTTTAATGGTATGCACAGCCCTTGTGAATTCTATGGGAATGACATTTGAAGCTTTATCTACAAATTCCAAATCAGAACACTTTGTACTCGCTCCAGGCATACTTGAACTTACCACCTCATGGTGAACAACCAGCGCAGGATCACCTTTCCCAAGTAAATCTATAGGTGCCACTGGGTTGAACATTTCAGAGGATGACACAGCCAGTTCAGGAGTATAAGCAGATTGAATTTCATGAGTGAAAGCTGTTGGTGTCGATCTCAATGTTTGTTCCTTGATACATCCAGACAAGGAAGACTCATCAAAGGCCATCTCTTTCAGTGACAAATCAACCGAATGATTTGCATTCTCAAACCCAGTTTCCATTTCGGGATAACTTTCTACTAATCCCCCCACAAATGTGGGGCCAGATGTGCCATTTGCCTGCTGGGTTGGACCACATGCCCCGTTAGTAGGATTTCCATGCATTGGTCCATGAACATTTCTCCACATAGAATTTGCAACTATACGACCATGTGATAATTGGTAAAGAGGGTCCGTTTCATGTGTGTGAGGTATCCGATACCGAACTCCACTCTCATCTACTGGTGGAACAGGTATTTGTGATCCTTTGTCCACCGCTTGGTCAAGAAACACCTGATTACCAAGCTCATGCCCTGCCCGAATATTGTGAAGATTGTCATGATGGACATAATATGGTGGCACCCAACGTGTATCAGATACATTGTGCCCCAGGGAAATATTGATCCCATTGTCTATAATGTTATGATCTGTCAACCTGCCAACCCCAGGAACATGTGTCCTTGGTTCCTCGGGCTGAGGATTTGAATGATGCCGAACGACCCATCCTCTATCATTATTATAATAATCATTGGATAGAGCATGGGAGCAACGACGATGCATGTTTGCATCTGTACTCTTCAAGGGAATTTCCCAGTTTGGTGGAGAATCAGCAAAGGGCCTAGAACCCAGTTGAAGCCCGCTACCTGTATTTGTCTCCGCATATTGACTGTTCCCACGCTTCCAATGGGAATCTGGATAAGGTTGATTTCTTTGGAAAGTCATCTGGCAATTCTCGCAGAAAATGTTTCCTTCAAGTGCCTGGGGTGAATTAAGTATGCAACCCTGGAAACTAGCTTTCTCAGCTGGCGCAGGTCCATTTGGAAAGAAAAGCATATTTTCTGCAAATTGCGGAAGTTGCTCATGAAAAAGTTGATGATTAACCTGAAGACGAGAGTAATCCTCAGGATTTCTATCATGGCCTTTCTCTTGAGCCTCTGCATATTGCAAATAGTGACGTGAAGATGAAGGTGAAGAAGCAACATCTGTCATAGGCCTAGGTTCCTGTCCAGGCTGCCTGGGGGAGTAAAAGACAGGACTCAACTGAGCATCAATCTCATTATATCTCAGCTGCTGTCCCAACCCCAAATGAGGAATATTGAGATGATGCAAGTTAATCTGAGGTACCTGCATCTCAGTGTTTCTCTGATTATGGAGGGTGCCCTCAAGATTCATGTGGTGAAAGCACTGCTCTGTGATGTGAACATCATCTAACAAAAATTCTCCGTGGTTCTTATATTCAGGGGAATCGCTAAAACTATTCAAAGCATCTACATACCTTCTTTCATTTTCCCTTCCATCCCCACCATCACTAAAATGCAGTGATCCATCATGATCAAGATGAGTAAAAAGAAATATCCTTAACTTTGTTAACCCATCACCTGGCCCAAGCTTATCATATTCCTCCATCATATTGATCACATCATCATCATTAACAACAGAGACCAAAGCATCAAGATCTTCATCAGGTTGCTGATACTTGCAAACAGTAGCCCCTTCAAAGAGCTCCCTCATCTTAGCCATTAGCTCTTCGAAACTAATATCCCTTGTAACACTCACTATCCGTGTCTCACCACCCACATACCTAAGCTTCCCATCATGAGGCCTAGGCAGTATACTGCCCCCGAAGCTGCATAAAAACTTAAAGCGGGGATTCTCATCGTTAGAATTCTGGAGAGAGCCAGATGACACTTTCGGGCTATTCCTATCCATCTGGTATGAATCTACCGCCTCCTGTAGATCAATTGAGAGCTAAGATTCCAACGCTGATTCGCCTAAAGCATCAACAACATTATAACACAGTCATTTTTTGTGAGGATAGCCACAATCGTGTTCAATACACTCGCAAATTATAGATGCAAAGAGAAATCTGCTTACAAACTCTTCCAGAACTGAAAGGCGCTTGGATCATCACTGATAATTACCCCAGGATCACGGCTTTTCAGCTGAAATCAATCAAACACCCTTATCAATTTCAGCCTAAAAATTCAAATACCAGGGAGCACCTGATGAAAAAATAATTGACGGAAAATGCAAAATCAATTCTGAGTCTCAACAAGATACCTCAAATCCTCAACTTCGAGGCTTATCTCATCCATCTTTCTCTCTCCCTCTCTATCAAAACTAGGGAAAACCTACACTGTAAAATATTTCTATACGGAGTATATAGATTAAAAATAAATGCGTTGATAATAAAATACAAACCATGCAGAGCGGAAGAGATGGGGCTGAAAAAAAGGGAGTGAATTGAAGAGATGGCGCTGAGCTAATAATAGCATTTGCCGTGCAGCAAATGTATAGAGACAAACAGAGGCTGACGATGATGATGAGAGACGAACGTCATGGCTGGGAAGGGGAGTGCCCGCTTCGCCCCTGGTGCCACCTTGAGCAGCGTAGAGACACGTGGCGAGTTCTATTCCTCCGAAATGAGGGGAAATGTTATTGTACACCACCCCTCCATAACCACACATTTATTTTTTATTTTTATTTACTTAATTTTTTTTTAATTTCTTGCCTATTTAAGTGGTAATGGAGGGGGTGGGGGACAAATGGGGTACACCTTTGGTGTACCCCTAACATTTTCCATTTATAAACTCATACTCCCTTAGTCTCTAAATATTTGTCACATTTGTATTCCCGAGGTAAAATATCAAGTTTTTTCAATTCATTTTATCTATGTATTGGGATAAAAATAAAAAATAAAATTTACAAATCAAAAAAGTACATGAAAAGTACAACCACAACGATTGCTAATTTACGATTAACTGAACACTCATTTTCAAGCAAATCAATATTCATTTTCGAATAACTGTATACATATTTTTATAAAATTCAGTTATGCTCGAAAATAAATGTTCAACTATTG